CATGTCTTAAACGGTTCAGATAAGAAAAGCAGAAGGACAGAAACGGGGAGTGGACTCAGACGGTCTCTGCAGGAGCCTGGCATCCTAGCTTCTCAATGCTGAGGCTGGAGGCGAGAAATTTCCAGGCAGGCCTGCCTGGGCTACGAAGTGAGGTGTTTTTATTTATTTTTATTTTTTTCCTTTTAAATTAGTTTTATTTTATTCTTGTGTATGTGTGTGCCACATGTATATGGGTGCTCACAGAAGCCAGAAGAGGACACTAGATCCCGTGGAACTGGAGCATCATGTGCTCGGTCCAGAGTAAAAAGTGTTTTTAACCTCTGAGCCATTTCTCCAGTCCCACAGAGTGAGGGGTTTAAAAGATTTATTTGTTTTATGTGTAAGAGTTTTCTCTTCGTGTGTGTGTGTGTATACACAGGCGTGTGTGAGCACACGTGTACACACACACACACACACCTGTAATATGAACAGACTTTGCATACAAGTAGAAATAAAATGGAATGCAATGGGCATGGATATGTTCATGAGGGTGGGGCAATCTGGGAAAAGTGAGACGTAAACAAGCCCTAAATGATTACAGGGCTTGAGTGCACAGGCAGGTGACAGGTGCTGAGTATGGAGAAGCTGTGCCGGAGGCAGGGGTAAGTGAGACCGCAGCCGGCTCTGGTGGCCTAGCCTGCAGGCACCAGGTTGTTTTCACCAGGTGACAGCAGAGTCCCAAGAGCATTCCTGCTGCAAAGAATCCTTTCCCGCAGGGCGATGGTGGCGCACACCTTTAATCCCAGCACTCGGGAGGCAGAGGCAGGTGGATCTCTGTGAGTTCGAGACCAGCCTGGTCTACAGAGCTAGTTCCAGGACAGGCTCCAAAGCCACAGAGAAACCCTGTCTCGAAAAACCAAAAAAAAAAAAAAAAAAGAATCCTTTCCCATCCATCCGGCATGGCGGCCACATCTGAAAAGCAGGCACTTGGGGTGCTGAGGCAGGAGGATCACACGTTCCAGACAGCACGAGCTACAAAGGGAGGTACCTACTCAGCCAGGCAGACAAAGACGTCCCCGTATCATTCTTGTATATGCGACCGAAGCCGATTTTGGTTCTCTATATGGAGCGACATAGAATGTATTTCAATACATATGCTCTACTGTGACAAAAGCTCCGGTCAGCACCGATCGACTCATCCACAGAACAGCTTTGCTCCATTCCTTGTTTGCCAGCAAATAATCTGGGATGACTGAGTCAGAAAATCTTTAAAAAAAAAAAAAGTGAGAGCTGTATAATATCCTTTAAGTTATTTCTATTGTTTTTTATATACGTGAAATAGTATGGACATATAAAAAAATTGAGATAATACTAAAATATGAAGAAAAAGGATGAAAATATGAAGTATTTTTATTTCCTACTTTGCTTCTAGAATAGCCACTTTTAATAGGTTAGTGTCCATATTGTTTTTTATATACTTGAAATAGTATGGACATATAAAAATAAATTGAGATAATACTAAAATACGAAGAAAAAGGTTGAAAATATGAAAGATTTTTATTTCCTACTTTGCTTCTAGAATAGCCACTTTTAATAGGTTAGTGTCCAATTCTTCTTGATGTTTTTCTGAAATGCAGCATATGTATAATAAATTATATATATGGATATATATTAGTTTTTATTATATATGGATATATTAGTTTTTATTATATATGTATACATATTAGTTTTTATTATATATGGATATATATTAGTTTTTATTATATATGGATATATTAGTTTTTATTATATATGTATACATATTAGTTTTTATTATATATGGATATATATTAGTTTTTATTATGTATGTATATATTAATTTTTATTATATATGGATATATTAGTTTTTATTATATATGTATATATTAATTTTTATTATATATGGATATATATTAGTTTTTATTATATATATGTGTATATATTAGTTTTTATTATATATATATATATATATATATATATATGGATATATATTAGTTTTTTGAAACAGGGTTTTTCTGTGTTGCTATGGCTGTCCTGAAACTAGCTCTGTAGACCAAGCTGGTCTCAAGCTCACAGAGATCTGCCTCCTGAGTGCTGGGGTTAAAAATGTGCACCACCACCACCTGGCACAAATACTTTTTTTTTTTTTTGGTTTTTCAAGACAAGGTTTCTCTGTAGCTTTGGAGCCTGTCCTGGAACTAGCTCTTGTAGACCAGGCTGGTCTCAAACTCACAGAGATCCGTCTGCCTCTGCCTCCCGAGTGCTGGGATTAAAGGGATGTGCCACCACTGCCCAGCACAAATACGATTTTTTTAAAAAGTAGTTTTGAACAAGATGTAACATAATTGCTGTGCGATTTTATGGCTTGACCTTCCTCTGAACAAATCAGAATTTATTTTAATGCCCACATACAATGTACACAGTTTCATTACATATTTTTTCATATGTGTGTGTATATTTTTCCCCCTCAGTATTTGAAAACATTGAAGAATGAAGGTATTCAGAAGGCATACAAAAATAGTATTACAATATGTTGGATATTCATACATGTACATATATATTCACATAAAATATATATTGTTGAGACAACTCGTTACCATGGTCAAACATTAAATTAGAAGGATTAAAGTGAAAACTAAAGTTTCTGGAACAGATTTGTTTCAAGATTTACTTTATTTAACCTTTTAAAATTTTATTTTATGTGTTTGATTGTTTCGTCTGTATGTATGTCTGTGCGCCACTTGTACACCTGGAGTCTACAGAGTACAGAGGGGGCATTGAATCCCATGGAGTTATAGACTATAGTTATAGTTATAATTCGACTTATAGAGCTGTGAGCTACCATGTAGATGCTGGGAATTGAACCCCAGTCTTCTGCAAGAGTAGCCAGAGCTCTTAGCTGCTAATACATCTTTCCAGATCCTAGATTTATCTAAATTATAATTCTGTATATTTGTGGACATCTGTGTGTTTGTGCATGTGAGTGCAAGTGCCCAAGGAGGCCAGAAGAGGGCACCAGATACCCATGGGAATGGAGTTACAAGTAGTTGTGAGCTGGGAAGTGAACTCAGGCCCTCTATAAGAGCAATGAATGTTCTTAACGCCCCAGCATCACTGATCTATTTTTTAAAATAATACAAATAAAATAAGCAAAATTTATATAAAATGCAAATGTAAACATGTACTTCCATTTCATGCTTTTTTTTCTTTTAAGTTTTTGTGTGGATGTATTTGTGTATTTGAGAGGGAGAGGTACATGTGTACCTGTGTGTATGTACAGCTATGTGTGCTTATGAGGGTGCTTGAAGAGACTGGGTGAAGATGTTGGGTGTCTGGTGTTTGGCTCTACCACTGGCTACTCACCCTGAGCGGGGGTCTGTCACGGAACCTGCATCTGGGCTGGCTATCTTCCAGGCCCCAGGATTCTATTCTCTGTCGACTTTCCAGGGCTAGGATTACAAGCATGCACCGGGCTATGCCCAGCTGTTTATATGGAGCTAGGATCCAAATTCTGGTCCTCATGATTGTGTAGAAAGTGCTCTTAGAACGCACTCAGCTGCTTCTCCAGCTTCTCATATGCTGTGGTGGTTTGAGGGGGGACGTCCCCTTTAAGTCCCAGGTGTTCAAGCTTCCTTGGTCCCCAATTAGTGGCTATTTGGGGAGGATTTAGGAGGTGTGACTTTGATGAAGGAAGTACGTCACTGGAAGATGGGCTTTGAAGTTTCATAAAGACCCCATTTTGAGTGCACTCTCTTGTGGGATATTTTGGTCACCCCCGGAGACACCCAAGACTACCAATAAAGTTTATTTTGAATTGAGGGAAGAGCTAGCTAGCTACTTGCTGACCAAAATTAGCACATAGAGGTTTTGGAGGACCCCAGGATATATACAGAGACACAGGAAGTAGTAGGGAGTGGCAGAGAGAAAGAAAAAGAGAGAGAGAGAGAGAGAGAGAGAGAGAGAAAGGGAGTCACTAGTTCCTTCTCTGCCACTTATCTGATCAATCAAGTTTTTACTTAGTAATTTTACCAACATCTTGGTATCCAGATTGGCCTCTTCAGGAACAAAATATTCAGCGTCTAGGGATTGGAACTTTGTGTCAGGTAAAACAAAGTACAAGGTTGGTCAAAGGTATAGTGCTAGAAGGACTGGTAGGAAAATTAAAGCCACATGTGGCTAACATAGCAATGAATTCATGGGGATGTGATTTGTTTCAACAGTGGAAAACACAGATTAACATTCCTCCAATCTCAGAAACAAACCATAAAATAAAGAATGCTTTTGAGAGAAATATTAAAAGGTGTTGTCAAGAACAGTCACAGACCATTCAGAGTGTACATAAACAGGGCACAATAGCTGGTGGTCTTTTAAAGGTACCAACAGCCTTACCTTCAAAACGGTTAACTGACTAACCAGTCTTTGGAATTCTCCTATATTTGTCAATAGAAAGAAATCTGGAAAATGGAGAATGGCAATGGATCTAAGAGCTATTAATAAGGTGATCCGGTGGTCCAGTCAATGGATTCTTTATAGCCTGAAATTCCTTTGCCTTCTTTATTACCTAGAGGATGGTCTATTATAGTGACTGATTTAAAAGTGCTTTTTTACTATACTTTTACAAGATCAGGATAGGGAAAAATTTGGCCTTCACAATGCCCCCTTAGACTAATTCTCAGCTTGTTAAGAGGTATCAGGGGAAAATTCTTCCACAATGGATGTTAAACAGCACAACCCTCTGCCAATATTTCGTAGAATAACCATTGGAAATAATTCATAAATGGTTCCATCAATCTATAATTTACCATTATAGAGATGATATCTTACTAGTTGATTCAGACTCAGATACCTTAGAAAAACTGTTTGGTGATGTAAAGAGAATTTTGCTTTTTGGGGGGTTACAAATTGTTCCTGAAAAAATACAGAAGAGATTTAAATTACCTAGGACATAAGATAGGTTTGTAAAGACCTACCGCTGCCCTTGGTCGTGGGTCGTGCTTGGCACCGGCTGCAGCAGCCACGATGACCTTGCTTCAGCTTGTACGTGAACACTGGGTTCATATACTTGTTCCTATGGGATTTGTCTTTGGATGCTATCTAGACAGGAGGGATGACGAAAAGCTAACTGCCTTCCGGAATAAGAGTATGCTATATCAGAGGGAACTGAGGCCCAATGAAGAAGTTACTTGGAAGTAAAGCCTGTGGCTAAATCTCAGAATGTTCACATTTTAAAAGTCATTGGAGAAATAAAACATTTATTATTTAAAAAAAAGATAGGTTTGTAAAAATTTCAATCAAGGAAAGTACAAATCAGGAGAGATCAATTAGGAACTCTTAATGATATTCAAAAATTTCTGGAAAATATTAACTCACAAAGGCCCACAATTGGATTAACAGCTCTAACCCTCTGGAACTATGATTCTAAAATAGACTGTTCCTTTGGTGAATTGTCATGGTCATAGTGTTTTTATCACAGTAATAAAAAAGTGACTAATACACTTGTTTTTTTTTTTTCTTTTCGAGACAGGGTTTCTCCGTAACTTTTGGTTCCTGTCCTGGAACTAGCTCTTGTAGACCAGGCTGGCCTCGAACTCACAGAGATCCACCTGCCTCTGCCTCCCGAGTGCTGGGATTAAAGGCATGCGCCACCACTGCCCGGCGAATACACTTGTTTATATATTTAATTTCTCCCATTTATTTTTTTCATACCAAGAAAAACCATACATAAATTGTTCTAGGACCTGGAGAGATGGCTCGGTGGTTAAGAGCACTGGCTTTTCTTGCGAAGGTTCCTGGATTCAGCTCACAACTCTCTGAACTCCTGTTCCAGGGGATCTGATGCCCTCTTCTTACTTTTACCAGCATTACATGCATCTGTTGTGATAGGAGCTGCATCATGCATCTGGTACATAGACATATGTGCAGGCAAAGCACCAATATACATAAAATAAAAGTAGAAATCATTAAAAATTGCTCTATATTATTTTTTATGATTATTCTTTTTATTAAGTCTTTCAGAATTTCAGAGGATGTATTTTGATGACATTCACCTCAATTTCTCCCTTCAACTTCTCCCGGATCCTTTTCCACCTCCTATCACTCTCCTAACTTTATCATTTTTATTTGTTTATTTGTTTTTAATTTAATAAGTCATCGACTTCAGTTTGTGCTCTCACTGTGTTTCTGGGTATGGAGCTGTCCACTGGAGTGTGATTGAGTGACATTCTTAAAGAAAACTGGCTCCCCTCCACCTTCCAAAAGCCATCAACTGTTCATAATTTCTTAGTTAGGGGTGGGGACTTGTGAACTCCTTCCACTCCATGTAGAATGTTGACTGGCTTGATCTTGTTCAGGTCTCCATTCAGCTCTGAGATCATGAGTCCAGTGGCTCTGTCCAGAAGACATTGTTTTGGTTTTCTCCCTCTTTTTTTTTTCTTCCAATACAGAGTTTCTTTCCCTGGCTGTCCTGGAACTCTATCTGTAGACTAGGCTGCCTTGAACTCACAGAGATCCACCTGTCTCTGCCTCCTGAGTACTGGGGTTAAAGGCAAGTGCCTGGCAGTCTTACCCTCTTAAACCCTTTCCACCCTGCCTTCGGAGGCAGTCCTTGAGTCTTGGGAGGGATGTTACAGAAATGTCACAATTTGAGACTTTTGTGAGTTTCTGCATTAACCTCTGTATATTGCACAATGCAACTTCTCTGAGGAGGACTGAGTGTTGCACTTATCTACAGATAGATAAGAATTTTGAGGTCAGCTTGATACTATGTATGTTTAATAAAATAATAGGCCCAATTCCAGAGGTTATGTGCTTCACAACTATGAATTCATCGGCATATTTGTAGTACTAGGCATGCATAAGCTATTACCATTGTGCTCAGTTGCTCACCAGTACCTTATGGGAAGACTCCTTTGTTGAAGATACTACACTGGTTACAGAACATGTAGAATTCAAATTGGTATTTGACCAGCAAGCTTCCTCTTTGCTGACTAGATTTCAGAGCACTGGAAGGTGTTATACAGATTGTGGAGTAGGGTGGAGAGAAAGTCATCAACAGTCTAACCCAGCTGTGAACCCTGTGAACTACAATGATGACCAGTGTGGCAAGATATGCCCATCAATGCAACAGTGGTGCAAATAATACGGAACTTGGTATGTAGACCAGGCTGACCCCATATTCACAGAGATCTGCTGTAAGACAATGGTCTTGTACCCTGTAAAGATTTGTCACTTGTATTGGTTTAATAATATGCTGATTGGCCAGTAGCCAGGCAGGAAGTGTAGGTGGAGCAACAAGAATAGGAGAATTTTGGGAAAAAGAAAGGCTCAGTCTGCAGTCGTCACCCAGATGCAGAGGAAGCAAGATGAGAATGCCTCACTGATAAAAGGTACTAAGTCACGTGGCTAACACAGACAAGAGTTATGGGTTAATTTAGAATGTAAGAGTTAGTTAATCAGAAAGCCTGAGCTAATAGGCCAACCAGTTTATGATTAATGTAAGCTTCTGTGTGTTTCTTTGGGACTGAACAGCTATGGGACTGGGTGGGACAGAAACCTCTGACATTAGAGATCTTCCTGCCTCTGCCTCTGGAGTACTGGGATTAAAGGCATGTGCCTTGTCTAGCATAATATTCTGCTTTTGTCAAATTTAAACTGTTATAAACTAGACATATTCTTAATATCTCACTCTCCTTTCCCTCTGACACAGGGTCTTGTGTGGCCCAAGCTGGCCTCAAACTTGGATGTAACTGAGGATGATCTTGAACTTCTGATCCTCCTGAGTCAGTCTCTCAAGTGCTGGAATTATGAGCATGCATCACCATATATGACTATGCCACTATTTCTGTAAAAAACAAAAACAGATTATTAGAATTGGAAGAGCTAAACCTGAATGTCTGCATGCATAAATTTAAAGGTTGATTTATTTTTTAGCTATGTGTGTAATAGTAAAATAAAAATGCTGCAGGATCTCTGGTGGCTGCAGCAGCAGAAATGCCTGCAGGTCCCTGAGCAGTGGCAGTGGGCAGTGGGTTCTGAGAGCAGCCAGTCCTAGGCAGGGAATGGCACAGTTCCCTGATTGGCTGTAGCAGGCCATGAGTTTCAGACAGGGAGCCAAGTAATGAGTAAGAGACCTCGGTGGGGCAGCCAGTCACACAAGAAGAGACAGATAGATGGGCACACCATGATACCACACCTCAGGTCTCCAAAGACTTCTGGTCCCAGGCAGGGAGTCACGCAGCAGGCGAGAGACAGAGACATGGATAGGCACACCATGCAGAGTGAGGTTGGATATTTATTTAGTGGGTTATGGAGGGGAAAGGGAGAAGGGGAGAAGAGCAGAGAGGGAGAGAGAGAGAGAGAAAGAGAGAGAGAGAGAGAGAGAGAGAGAGAAGAAGAAGAAGAAGAAGAAGAAGAAGAAAGACAGAAGAGAGAGAGGAAGATGGAAAAGGAAAGAGACTCAGGCTGCAAGCAGGAAGGAAGATCTGCCTGCCTCAGTGGACTGGGAAGTGAGTAGGTGGGACTTGTCTCTTAAAGGGACAGGACAGATTATTACAATGTGTACAAGTGTTTTGCTTGTATGTGTGTATGCACACCATGTCTGCATCTGCTGCCCTCAGAGTCCAGAAGAGGATGTTGGCTCCTCTGGGCCTGAAGTTACACATGGGTGCTAGAAACCCAATCTAGCTCCTTTGCAAGAGCAGCAAGTGCTGTTAAATGTTGAACCATCTCTCTAGCCCTATAATTTTTTTAAAGGTATGGAAATTTCCTTTAGAATGCCACCAGTTTTACTCCCACTTGCAGTGATGAGAATATCTTGCCTACTTATTAGTGATAAGGTATAGCCAGGGGTAGTGGGCACACCTGTAATCATGTTGTTTGGGAGGCTAGTACAGGAGGGCTATGAATTGGACTCCAGAATAGGTCGCATAACTAAACCACCAACAAACAAGAGGTATCCATGCTGTTGCTTCATTATCAAAACCTTGTTCTCTGATTTTGCTTTTGATATCCTCATCTTCATTGTGGGAGAGGCAGAAGCTCCAAGGGTTGTTTGTTGTAGAAGGATGCAGGCCTGCTTTTCATCCTGGCCACCTGGCTCCTGGCTGCTTGGCTAGCTTAACCCCTGAAATAATCACACAGAAATTGTATTAATTAAATTACTGCCTGGCCCATAGCTCTAGCTTCTTATTGGCTAACTCTCACATTTTGATAAACCTATTTCTATTAAATCTGTGTATCACCACATGACTGTGGCTTACCTGCAAGATTCTAACCTACATCCAACTCAGGCTGGAGATTCATGGCATCTGCCACACTTCCCTTCTTCCCAGCATTCTGTTCTGTCTACTCTGCCCACCTAAAGGCTGCCCTATCAAAAGGCCAAGGCAGTTTCTTTATTCAACGAATGAAAGCAATGCAAATACAGAAGGACTTCCTACAGTTGTTTAACTATCATATAGTAGGGGCTTCCATGGCTGTATAATACATGTTGGGGACATCAATGTGGGAAAGATTAGTTGTCCCTGAAACAAGCAGTAAGCAGATGCACTGAGGGATGGGCCTGGAGCCAAGTGTTAAGAATGGGTAGACGCTGACAGACATTAGCTGCTACAAATCCTGTAAATTAACAATTTAACTGCCTCCATCCCACTAAAACCTGAGTTTCTTTATATCCTGTCTGCCTTCTACAGTGCCCTGTAACTGTTTTGTTGCTAAAATATGAATGTTTGCCTAAAAATGACTTCTGAATATAATATAAAGAGTTAATAAAATGGCTCCTTAAAATTGTTCCTGGAGTGGAGACAGTTTTCTTGATTTATGTCTTTCTAAAGATTATGCGTCAGGGATTGGGGAGATGGCTTAGTGGTTGTATGAACTCAGCTGCTTTTGCAGAGGACCCAGTTTCAGTTTCTCGCTCCCACAAGGCAGCTCACAATCTCTGTAACTATTGTTCCAGGCATCTGTCTCCCTCTTCTGTCCTCTACCAGCAATGAACACACGTGACGCACATACATACATGCAGGCAAAGCACTCATACCCATAAAGCAAAGACAAATAAATCTGTGTTTTCAGATCATTAAGAAAACTATTAATTTATTATTATTATTACTGTTAATTATTATCAGTCTGGATCTCACTGTTTCCCAGGCTGGCCAGGAGTTCTCCATAAGGAACTGGAATCGTAAGTGCACATTATCATGCTCTGCTTAAGAAATTTTGCTCTGTTTTGCTTTGAGAGAAGATCTCTTGTTAGCCCAGGCTG